TATTATAACTAGAGAAGGTATAATTATAAAGGCTTAGCTATAGCCTAGCTACTTAATTATATAGCTACCCCTTATATCCTAATTATTTTTAATCTTCTATTTTTATACCTTAAGCTACTTTTAAATCATTACTGAATGCATCTAGGATAGACAGTAAAGATAAATAGTATTCCCCTTATCTAATATTTAAGAAGATAAGGATTAGTTTTATTATAAACTAATCTACTACTCTCTATCATTCTTTTCTATTAATTATTATCACTAATTCTTACCTAGTCAACAGGTTATCTACCCTGCGACATAGATCCTTACAAAGATGGCCTGCAGTATATCCAGGAGTGTTATCTTCCTGGATATAAATATAGTTATATTACTGAAGAAGCTCCCTAGTATATAGAAATAGTTTCTTCTCTAAGATTTCTTACTTATAGCACCACCAGTTAATGCCTTTAACATTAACTTTTTACTGAAATAGCTTTAGTCTGAATGTTCACTTCCTACCCTATCAAGAATAGACAGATATTAGTCACTTTCCATAGATTTTTATATGGTAAGGTACCTTAGCTAGTCAGCCATCTCTAGATATAGATTGAAGAATCTGCACGCCTTTAAATGCTTCCTTTTACTAAGGTATAACCTCTGTATTCTATGCAGAAATCTTAGAGGCAGCCTCCTGCCTCTCTTTTTTAGTCTCTGAATAGAATATATAGCAGGGATCTTTTAAATTATATGAGATATACCCCTAGAATATAAAGTCTAAGTAGTTCTAGTGTTTTTCTTATATAGTATCTGGATGATAAGATTACTTCTCTTATTTAGTCATAGATGCATATTAATGGCCTTATATACTAGTTAAAACTAACATCTCATCTATCTAAATAACCTTTGCCTAGTCTTCTAAGGTCCAGTCCTTGTGTTCTTTTACCCATTCTAAGCGTGCCTTCTTCTGCTTTTCTAAAGGTCATAGTTTCCAGGAATACCACCATCTAGAGATGTCCAGAGAGGTTAGTAAGGGTCTAATCTTAGTCTTAAAGATAATAAGGGTTTACCTATTAATTCCAAGCTTATATGCAGCATTTTGGAATGTGTGTTAATATCTAGGAAGCTCTAGATTTACACTCTTAACCTCTGCATAAATTTGCTTCCACTCCAGGTTTTGTGTACAGCAATTATCTCGAATCAAACAGCCAATATAATATTTATCTCAGTTAGAGAGAACCTTAGGCCTTCCTAAACGAGGCCTTTTTGCAAGAAATTCTTCTTTAATAGGCTGATTTAGCTTCTAACTACGTTCTTTTGCGCGTTTCCGTACGCGGGAGATAGTAGATTTTGAGAGGCCTGATTGCGCGGCTACAGTGCTAAGAGAATTGCCTGAAATTTCAGTCAGGGCAAGTACAGAGGCCCTTTTTGCTATATCTCTCTCCTTTTTCATTTTGTCCAAGGTTTAATAGGGTGGTAATAGAAAATAGGTAGGAATCTAATGTTTTGGTGGACGCGTTTGGAAACTATGTCATGTGTTGCACTACTTTTTGCCAGGGGGAGAGGTAGTAAGGACTGGATAGGTACCTGTCTGCAGATTCCACATCAAATTGGAAAGGAGTTGCTCAAGTGAGATAAGTCTGTGGGCTACGACTGATAGAGAAGTACCCTATTAGAAAAGTACTTAAGGTACGTAAGGTAGGTTGACTGTTTGATGGAGAGTCGAAGTAACCAATCACTCCTCTGTACTGCCGAATGTGCTTCCTTCCATTCTGATTGGATCCTTGGCACATGTTTTTGCGTCAGAATTGGCGTTTATGACTGATCAAGTCAACGAGAACGGTGTTAAACCATTGCTGGAAGCTTTTAGAGGTCGTACAAAGGATTAGGTAGTGGTTATATCATCACTATCTCAGCCTGTCGCCTGAGCTGTTTCATTACTGATGTGTCCTGAAACTTTGCTTTGTATTATTATTATTGATCTTCCTTTGACTATCTGAATTGTTCTTGGTTTCTCGGCGCTAACACTCCCTTCCTCAGCTCTGTCTCTGGGCGATCCAGCACTGCCACTGACCTGTAGATAACTAGGTATCATGAGTTTCCCATCCCATCTCGTCTCATCCTCGTCTTCAATATTCCACTGTCACTACAACTGTGTATAATATTTTTCACCTGGTCCCGCTCTTCTCACGCTGGAATTTCCACATTCTCCCGACTCCAGTTGAACCCGAAAGGCCGACCGCCGCTCACTTTCCGAACACCAGCGCGAACCTTAAATAATAATCAGGAACTCTCATCGACGACATCACCCGTCGGCTTTCCGCCACCAAACATCCTTCACTCATCCTCTCTGTCGGGTGGTTCTAATCAATAACTTCTCTGGTCCATGGCCATTTTTACGTCTCCCAAATCGCTTCAGAATGTCAATACCTTAGTTCCTCGCCAGTTCGTGACTCAAATGCAATCGGAGATCATGAATCCTGGGGTCCTTCAGGATGGCGGCCATTCGAGCCATCCTTCATTCTTCCACCTCGTCCTTCTGGTTTTTGAAGCTGTGTTGGAGGTAGTGTGTGTCAGCTTGCCCGGTTACATAGTTGCCAGACAGGGCATGTTCGATGCAGAAGCTCAGAAGTTGGTCGCCAACCTCAATGTCATGCTGTTTACCCCATGTCTGAGTATGTAGCTCTTTCTTGTTGTCTCCAGTGGATGATCTTGAAGCTAATATCGTGTAGTCTTCATCAAACTTGGTTCTCAACTAACGGCGGAGAAACTCACCGACCTTGCCATCATCCCGTTTATCTTCGTCGTTCAGATCTCCGTCTCTTATTCCTGTGCTTGGATTATATCGCGATGTCTCCGTTTCGGAAAACGACAGGCCAATTTTGTGGCGGCAATGGCTGTACGTATTCCGAAATCTTCTCACTACATTGCCTATCTAATCTTCTTTATTAACAGGTCTTCGGCAACTCGAATTCCCTACCTATATCCCTTGTCATGTCACTTTCGCAGACCCTAAAAGGCCTTCACTGGAGCAAGGTCCCTAATGACAACGATGACGAAGTGGCTGCCCGTGGAATTCTATACCTCCTCATATTTCAGCAATTAGGTCAGCTCGTGCGCTGGAGTTGGGGCTACCATGTTCTTCTTGCTCCGAAGGAACGATACCTGGAAGAGGCAGATAGGGAAGATGGTGCGACCCGAATTGAGCAAGGGCAGGAATGCTACAGCGACAACCCGAACCAGACGGACCCAGATGAGCCACTCATCAGAACACGAAGCTCCGATAGCCTTACCAACCGTGCAGGGGGCTCTTCCGGCGACACAGAGGAGTTCAGGTCCGGTGAACAGACCCCCGTGACAGCTCAGACGTATTCCTATACGAAGCTATCCACTCATGGCCAAGTGCACGATGAATCAGATCACCACCCTTCCCTGATCGGGCCTCCCCCCAGCGGACCATTCCTTCCGCGCCAAAGTACTGGAGGCCACATCCTATTGTTTCCGAACGTTGAGTTGTCGCATGAAGGCCACCAGCACAAACAGGGAGCGTTCACACGAGTCAAGGAGTATCTGGGGCAACGCCGTAGTCGCATGACAACCTGTATCGCGAGCGGCTGGGAGAGAAGCACAAACGCAGTGTACAGTCGACTTCCGAGCAGTGTACAGAAACCCGTGTCTCTTTGTGCTCGCGGCATTAAAGGGTTTCTCCATGGCCTATGGGACTTCATGAATCCTCCTCTGTGGGCTATGCTTGTGTCGATTATCGTGGCATCCGTGCCGTCCCTACAGCACTTGTTCTTCGACGAGGATACTTTCGTGAACAATTCGGTCACTCGAGCTATCAACCAGAATGCTCAAGTTGCTGTACCCTTGATCCTGGTCGTCCTAGGAGCCAACCTTGCACGAAACACTTTGTCCCGAGAAGCGCTCGAAGACATTGGGCATCCCAAGGAAGAGAAGAAGCTCATTATTGCCTCCCTCGTGGCACGAATGCTCCTCCCAACCTTGATCATGGCCCCTCTCCTTGCTCTGCTCGCTAAACACGTCCCTATTAGTATCCTGGGCGATCCGGTCTTCATAATCGTCTGCTTCTTGCTTACCGGAGCTCCATCCGCTCTGCAACTGGCACAGATTTGCCAGATCAATAATGTATACGTCTCTGCCATGTCGAAGCTTCTATTCCAGAGCTATGTTGTTTGGTAAGTTGCTTGCATGCTCAAGCTCAAGATTCACGCACTAACAGATCCTAGGATTCTCCCTTCGACTCTCATACTTGTCATGTGTGCGTTGGAGGTCGTTGAGTGGGCTTCCGCTTCTACCTAAATGGGTTCTATGATTACGATTAGTGTAGTTTTATGTGCTATTCTTACGGCCTGGTGTCTGGTGTTATGATCTGTTTCTTTCTTTCGATGTCTTATCATCGACAGGCGGTCGCTTCACGGTTTTGTCTGATTACGCAGAATGGGAGATGGGCAGGTGATGCCAATATCGGATGGCTAGGTAAATTTCTTAGTGAGCTTCATCAAAAGCTGGCTCTTTGCACCTCAGATGCTTCTTCAAGCCTACTCTACATAGCTGTACACTTCTCTGCTACAGAGATTTGCATGTCTGATCTCATCACTTCTGGCAATCATTACCCTGCCAACCGATTCATTTCATGACACGATAAGGCAATGAAGCACTATACCAGTCGAATTTCCCCTTAAAGCGAAGAAATCCTTTGATAGAGCAGAGAGTCATGCAAATGCGGAACCCACAAAGCAAGCCCTGACGAGAAAGCATTGAAGCATTGGGATTTCATCCGAGCACTGGGGAGGAAACCATCGAACTTTTGCCTGATCCCCCCTTCTGCTGACTTGGAAAGTTCCATTTATTGTATTCTGGTAAGGGTTATAAGCAGCCGCAAATGAAACTCTTCAAGGAATCAATTCCATCGGCGACCTGCTGCTCTATCGCTTTGCGAACGGGGAAGGTGTCTTTCGCAGTGGATCTCAACAGTTACGTACTAATCATGCATACTTCTATAAAGCTGTACACTCCTGCCCACCCGAGAAAACACCATCTACTGTTTCGTCATGCATAACGTCCACCACCATCGCCATGCCATTCGCCAAATGCCACACAATATGGCAATGGAACAACCACACCCCTGGATTCTCTGCCCGGAAGCGTAGAACCGCATACCCGCGGCTGGGGATCTGGACCGTGTCACGCAGTACCGCGCGGGAGAGGTCGTATGGTGAACCGTCCCCGGACCCGTTGTCAGCGGCATCGGCACTGTCGACAGGCTCTAGACCTGGCGGATGCGCGTCGGTGAAGGGGTTATAGGAGCCCCAGCCTATGGGAGCTTTATAGACTTGTAGAACGTAGAAGTGGTGGCCGTGCTGCGATCGTCAGCTTCTGTTCTGTCGTGGAACTGGGATGGGAGGGGAGTCATACAAGGTGAAAAGGGTGAGGTCCTTCGTCGAGATTATTCACCACCAGGTCTACCCACACCGGGTCGAGCCCTGTAGCGATAGAGAGTTGGTTTTCGTCCCATTTGTCGCGGGGTAGGTAGAGGAGGGGTGTTGGAGGGCTGCTTTGCGGTTTCCACGAGGTGCGGTTGAAGAAGGCGTAAGGGACGTTGTGGTTTTTGGAGAGTTTCTGGATCTTGGTGTATACGACGTGAGTCTGGTTGGCGTGCTTGGGGAGTGAGGAAAGGATGGTTCGTGAAGACGGGACAGTCTCGAGATTGAGTTTGGGATACAGCTTGGAGTTGGACCTGTCTGCCTGTGGGCTGGTGGTCTTGTCTGTCGCGATGGGAAAGGTCTGCTCTGCACTCAGAGCTGGATTGAGGTATCTGAGGTTGCTGAAATTTTGGTTAGGTCCTGTTGTATATCCTGGGATATCGATATCGGGTCTGGGCTTACTCCTCATCCAGTTTGATAGTCATGGATTTCTGTTCATGTGTGGCACGTCCCGATGAAGGCATAAGGATTGCGTCCATACGTTGTCCGGGGTAGAGCACCCCGGCTGAACTGGCTTGTGACTGGGGTTCGACATCGTTGCTATCGAGTTGAATAAGATCGAAAACGCTGTCGGCGAAACTCAGCGTAAAGCCTGTCAAGGACCTGGTGGTAGGTTAGCATCTGACCAAAGAGAGACGCTTCTCCACCTGCCCTGTGTTGACCACCCGTATTCTGTAGGGCGAGCCACCGTCAAAATCCAGATAAGACAAATCGATATAATGCTCGACGCAGTCCACCGGTCGTGCAGGTACGGCCATGGAGCAGTTGAAATGGCCCACGCCATTGATTAATAGCGAGTCTGGGACCGGCTGTGTTGCCGTTAGCACGGCAACCAGACCTATTTGGCCTACTAACCTCGTTGCCAAAAGATCCAGCGCGCATATACCAGTCTAGAACTTGAGAAGCTGGTTGATGATACCAGTCACTAATTAGAAGCAATAAGTCCTTGCCGTAGACGTCTTGATGATTTGCTTTCTCCTCTTCGGCTACGTGGTCACCGACTGTAAGATTTAGGGAGGGCGCGTGTACTACAAAGCCTCCATAAAGCCCATCTGCTCTGGCCACACCGGAATGAGCATGGTACCAAAACGACCCGCTCTGGTTCTCAGGAACAGTGAGGTTATAGATGAATTTGGACCCTGGAGCGATTGGACATTGCGAGACTCCAACCGCACCGTCCATTGAGCCTGGAAGATAATTGGTGATTGGGTACGACAAGCCACTGGATCAACTGAAGCACTTACTTTGCACATGCAAACCATGCCAATGGATGGAGATCGACTCATGTTCAAGTCTGTTAACGAGGGTTATGACGAGAGTATCGCCCGAGCGAGCTTCGATCGTTGGACCAGGGAATAGCCCTGTCATATTATCATCAGCAAAACGGTTCCGGTGTGGCAAGGCAATAGATCTTCACCATTGATGCAATAGACTTGTTTAAGGACCCCGTCAGGACGTAAGTAGTTTGAAGTGACCACCCACTCAAGATGCTGCGTCGCCGCTTCACGGTGTATGTGATCCTCAGGATGAAGCTTTATCATCGGACGCAATGCATCGGGATCACTTAGTTTTGGATGGCCATGGGTCTGTGATAGGCCTGGTAACGAAACCCAAGTGTTCGGCGTGGAGATTTGCTGGAGATATGCTAGCGCGATCAAGACACATGCAGCCAATGGCCACAGCACTAATCCATAGGACCAATTCTTTGGTTTCGTCGATGTGTATTCATCACAAGATCTCTCATATCGCTGAGACACCGGTAATAGCTCTTCCGACTCTACGTGGTCCTTGCTCAAGGAGGTCTCTCCGCAACAATCGCGCAGCTCCCCCATCGTCTTTCAATTTTAGAGGAATCGTTCATTTGAGAACAATTTGCTTCTCCAATGCGCCATATGAAACTATGTTGCGGTTTCCCCTCATCTCGGCAACAGACGAGGGGTTACATTGCATCATGTTGATCTCCATTTTCCTCAAGGGGTGGTTCCATCCTCAGGCATCCAGCAGGAACTACGACATGCCACACGTGCTAGCGAGGAACGCGTTATGGGACGTTTGATGGAAGCGAACCAAAACTTCATCTCCACCCATGCATCGCTTATCGTCTGCTGCAAGCCTGTCAATGTTTCCTCAATACTGGTTGCAACCTTGTTGGGAAATCAAGCTAAAAAGGCGCCGTGCTAGTTGCCAACATCTACGTGATGATCAAATCACATTCGGTGAATGTCGCATGTAATTTCGAATGTTTCAAATGTTTACCACGTTTGGTTGCTTTATGATCCCTCGGCCTCTGGAATTGAGTAACATATGCAAGATTGTAACCTCTGTAAGTTCAGGATGCAACGGTAATGTATACAGACGTTGCTAAAAGATCGCTCAACTGAGGCACAAAGATCGGATAAATTGATCCTTCGCCCGGCAATTGGTAGCAAGTCCTCATTGCTTTCTCGCTGGTCACTTTGGCTTGTTCAGCCCTGAGTTCTGAGCTGAACACTGAGGGCGAAAATGTCGCTAGTCACTGGTGCTGCCCTGGCCGTGCTCTTCTTGAGTCGGCCTGCCATTGCCGGCTCTTTGAAGGACATTGAGCATGTTGTTATTTTCATGCAGGAAAACAGGTCATGGAACAACGTATGTTCTTCTTGGCAGCTAGATCCACATTCTGGGGCAAAGCGCTCATTGATAAACATACTTTGGCACGATGGCAGGAGTCCGGGGGTTCAATGACCCTAACGTGCAGGTCAACCCAGACGGTTTACCTGTCTGGTATCAGTGAGTATCACAAGTTGATCAAGGGCTGTCACTGGCAAGAAAATAGCTGACGCATGTTTCTCCAGGCAAGTCGACCCCAGCATGTCCACTAACGCCAAAACCCTCCTTCCTTGGTATCTAGGCTATCGAGGTGGATCTTGGCCCGATGCAATCCAGTGCATGGTAGCGGGAGATAATGGTTATACTGATAACCAGGCCGCTCTGAATCATGGCCTGAACAATCATTGGGCCCGTAACAATACGCCATGGAGCTGGGGATACCTCAAGAGGAGCGACATCCCTGTTCACTTTGCGATTGCTGAGGGCTGGACGGCAGGTGACATGTATCAGGTTCGAACTCTTCTTCGCAGGTACACTCCACCAAGTATTGACACCAATTCAGGAAGCTCAGATCACATCCACCAACCCGAACCGTGCCACATTGGTCAGTGGCTCCGTAAATATACCTGGGAGTCCGCAGAGCCCTGACCAGGGTGGTCCTTATTTGGACAATAACGAGACTCCCGGTAAGAAGTATGACCATAAGTGCTGTTCCTCAAATTGACGAGATCGGTTCGACAGGCTGCGACAAGGACAATATCAACTGTTATCCTCTCAAGTGGAAGACCATCTTCGAGTTTTATGAAGATGCGGGTGTCTCTTGGCAAGTGTATCAGGATGATAACAACTTTGACGACAACCCTCTGGCCTGGTTTGAGCAGTATCAGAAAGCTTCCGCTTCCTCGTCTCTGGCGCAAAAAGGCATAGCGTACTTAGGACTGGAGGCGTTCTATGAAGCAGCCGCGAACGGAACACTCCCAGAAATCAGTTTCATCGTTGGTCCTGCAGAGCTGTCCGAGCATCCCCCGTACATGCCAAAGGACGGAGCATGGCTTCAAAAGAAGGTGGTCGACTCGGTCGTGAACAGCCCCAAGTATAACTCCACACTGCTGATCGTCAGCTACGATGGTATGAAAACATGAGCCGCTCGATCATAAGGGTTGACATTGACGCAGTCGTTAGAGTCTGGCGGCTTTGGAGACCATGTCGTACCCTTCCACTCCCCCGAAGGTACTCCAGGAGAATGGATGGAGGACCCGTACGGCAAATTCGGACAGATCTTTGTCGGACCCGGTGCGCTGGAGATTCTCCTTGTGTCATTGTAACCTGGGCCATACTGACGATTACTACCTCGATAGGTGTTCGAGTGCCCTTCTATATGGTGTCTCCCTGGACCAGGGGCGGCCGTGTGTTCACCGAGCGAGCAGACCACAACTCACAGATCCTGTTCTTGGAACAATGGCTGACCGCTCGTGGATACAAGAACATTCAGACCGACCAGATGGTGCACTGGCGTCGGGAACATATGTCCAACCTTGTCAATGCTTTGGATTTGCATCATGTAGGCCTGGGAGTGCAATCTGCTTCGGTAATATCACTGACGGTTTCATAGCCTGATTACAGTATCCCTCATATTCCAAATGCCGATGCGCCCGCCATGGTCGGCAACTCGTATGTCGGGACATCCAATTGCCAAGCCAAATATCCGGTTCAACGACCGCCTGTCCCGTACGGACAGCAGAATGACACGTCTGAAGCCTTGTGGTTCGAGGACGGATACAAGGAATGCGTTGGTTACTTGACCGAAGGTCGTTACCTGGTTTTTGAAAAAGCTGGTCATGCACTCACAAACGCCGGCAATGCCACTCAACTGAGCATAAGTCCCGCCGTTCCCGATCACAGTGATAAGAAACAGCGATGGGTGATCCACTATTCGAATGGCGAGGAGAGCGGGCTTTTCCTGATCTCCAGTGCTCTGGATGGTAAATGGTTGGGGCCACGCGGTACCCTTCTACCAGCCAACTGCAGTGACCAGGCGGCTCAAATTAAGATCACCTTCCGCGGCAATGGTCAAGGCTACGCGTTGGAGTATGCTGCTGGATCAAAAGAGGTCGGGTTAGGAGGAAAGTCAGGCTTCAAGGTGTGGAGTGTAACTTACCACAACTAGAATTGGCATGAAGGGTTCATGAGTAGCTCAGAGACCTGCAGTACACAGCATTGGGACGAATGAGAATAACGTTCACTACTACCTATGCACTTATCTGTATCGTTGTGATTGGAGTCGTAATTGCGCCATAAAAGGAACGTGATTTTGGCTTGGCGGCCTTGCAAGCCAGGAATGTTATTTTTCAGGCCACGAACGTATATAATCCCTTGTTTCCCCTCACTCTGTCTGTCCTTCTGTTGACAACCACTTGTCCTTACCACGCCAGATGTTCCCAAGCAGCTCAGTCATTTGCTATGGCTTTTCGTACAGAAGCAAAACCCCATGCGACAAATCTCAGTATGATTATGGACGAATAATGAACAACTGGATTGTTTTAAGACTGCTCACGTAACCAACTGATTGCGGGGCCAAGGCTTATTTTTCCTCCCTATGGAGATTTGATTCCGGAGTCCCAGAGCAACGAGCCCCAATGCGCCAGTCAGAATCATTCGGTAATACTGCTAGGCTTACCAGTATCTGCATTGCAGATCATTGGAAGCATCCGAGATAACGGACAGCTAGGTTATCTCTATCTTGACGTTGTCCTTATCTGACGCCTGCTGAAGGTTAATGATACCTGCTTCTGGGAAACAAATCACGGGTGTGCAACACGCTAGGCCAATGTGCAATTGTCTCTTGCAAGCCACTGGCTCTGGACTAAGCCAGCATTGGCGTTGCAGAAGCCATTCGTTTGCTTTCCGGAAGGCAAGTCTAGACGATGGACTCCTGGAGACTGTCTCACGAGGTACCTGGAAAGGGGAAGTAGTCACCTGAGGCCACAGTCTATTTTGGCCTGATAAGCGACTTTTGGACGGATTTTCGCCACTCCCTTTTCCCTCTTCCCAACCAGATTTCGTCACCATTTCTCTTTTCTCCCTCCATATTATTTCTCAATCTGTCGCAATCTGTTCATATTTGGTCTGCTCAAGCAATCTAGATCTTCAGTCTAGGATTCTCAAGCAGGGATTCCGTTTCTCTAAAAAGTGGTTCCCACCAGGAGAATCCACTCTGCGGATTGGGAATGATCATAATTCCCGACCGCTTCCAAAGATCAAACCGTGTCTCTTCTCTTGTCGGCTCCCCACTTGACCGCTATTATTGTTCTCTTTCTTCCCAACTCTTCTCTGGCCTTCTCTGTCTATCCAGCGGGTGATTCGCGAGTGTCTCTACTCTTGGTCAAACTGCATTCCGACGTTGCTTGAACCTCAAGAGTATACTTTTCGAGGATCTTCGTACCAATCCCCCCCCAAAACAAGAGTGTCGCCGGCCTCCTGTCTGTATGTGACAGCTCTCTCAAACTTCTTGTTGGTCATTTCATCAACATCCTGTCTTTTCGAGAGCTGGGGTTCTCGACCACCTCCTGGAACTGTCGGACATGCCCTCCTTCGCC